TGAGAGGCAGTCTATTTTACTTTTGCATCATATGTTAAGCTAGAGAAAATTTAATGGAGATTATAAATATAAAAGTGTTGCAGAGAAGTAATTACAATTGTACAATTTTAAATGTGAAAGGAGAATCTGGTATTTCAGAAAGTATAAGGGGAAACAAAAGCATGCATACATGATTTAGAAAGACTTCCCAAAATGTTTTCTAACGGTCACTCTGGAATATGTATAAGAGCCCATCTCCACATTCTCAAATTAAGGTATTTCACATGTTAAAGTTGCACCTCGACACTCCTTACTTTTGTAGGATGGAATACATGCAAGGAATGCATCTATTAAAATGCATAATTAAAACTACACAGACAACCATAGGATACACTTTTTTTTTTAATAAAAGGAAAAGAAGATTTTGTACAAATTTGTACAAACACAATCCTCAAAAATCAGGCATCATCAAGTAATGTTCTCTAGTCTACCATCACAAATACCAATCATGAAACGAACTGCATTAGCCATTCTTTCTTACATATTTCTACAACCACTTTTGCCCCAAAGTGGCATACTTTACAATCTGATCTATTATCACAATGCAAGCCGCTTCTGTGAGTACTTGACCAACAGGTGTTTACTGATACGACATTTCTGTGTACTGTTTTATTCTGCTACCTCTTGTTCAGAGATGATTTAAACATCTGTTCCAATCTGCACCTGCTGCTCTGCCTGGCCATCCCCACATTTATTTCCAATCTTTTAATATATTTTCCTCTTTGGCATTAAAGCTGCTTCAGCAGCTCCCAGGCAAGCCTACTGGATCACAAATGATGGCTGCTGTGGCAATATGGATGTGAGAATTTAAATTTTTACTGTTGCTTTTCCATGTTACATGAGCATGAAAATGGACGTGTGGGTTTACGCTACAATGCAACAGAGCTGAGCATTAGCAGAAACTCACGGAACAACCTTCTGTTTGTGGGTTTTTCTTTCCTCCTCAGTTTAGAAGAATTTATCACAAGCATCTAGGATGTTAGTGGTTCTCAAGAGAAAGACAAAGTTTTAGGAATGCAAAGAGCAATATTTTTTTGGATACAGTTAGAAAGCCCCCCTTTAACACCTAGATAAGCATCTTTTAATAGCCTGTAATATTCCTTTACCCTCTCATTTCAAGTAGACTTCACCACAAGTGACATCACCAGAGGCCTCTATCAGCTTTCCGGAGTAGAACCAAGAAAAGAAAGATAAAAGCTTCAGGACTTTACCACTGTCTGCACTGTAAACGTTTCTCCATAAGATTTCCCACTGACATACAGTATAGTATACTCAAATTACACCATCACTTCTTACGGAGCATAAGCATCAACTCTATTAGGCATGGACACCTTTTGAGCTATTCATGCTTTTCTTTTGAAAAGGGAGACCATTTGAGTCCTTTGCTTACCTCTCCCTGCCTACACTTGGTCCAGAAAACAACTGAAAACTTTCTCAAAAAATATTTTCAATAGTGATGAGGTCTCAGACTATCTAGACAACTCTGCACTAGGTTCTGCTGAGAAGACTGCCCTAACTTCAGAAACATGGACTATAAAGAAACTAGCACGAGAAGTGGCATGTCTTAGGCATGTACAAATTCAAAGGAAGGGTTTAATGCATATCATCTTAAATCTATTCTCTAGCAGAGAAATTAGAACAGTTCTCCAACACCTGTCAACTTATGCACACCTCTACATTTAAGAGTCCTGCAATAAGCATACCCTTGTAAAACTACCATAAGGAACTTAAGATAATACCTGTTTGACATACTTTATGAAAATTACAAGATGAATAACATGAGCATAAATTTGAAAGTAAGTACCCTAAAATTTTCGTGTGCTCTTTTTAAGGAAAGAAGGCTCAGGTGATCATGCAGTCCCTCAAAAACTTGCTCCTGATGACCAAGCCCAAGCAGATTTGACAGCAGGTTGCAGTTCTTAAGAGCTCTTCCAAGCTGTCAACCTAGCTGAAAATTTTCACTTTAAAAAAAAAAAAAAAGCAAAGCATTAAATTAGCATCCATATCAGAGAGGAAGCCGCAGCATGAGCTTAACTATTATTTGTTCTCCCAGGCAAGTTGGCTGCTCAGAACAGTAGAGCTGGGCAGTCAGCAAACAGTTTTCCATCAGGTACAGCAGTATGGTGCCTTTGTCCAACTGGTACCTGGGGAAAGGTGCAGCAGGTTTTATGCATCAAAATATTAGTGAATAGAAAAAGGTTAAGAACTTGCAGGGAGAAACTGCAGTTGTTACAGCAGTGGAAGATTATAGAGGCTACAAAAAGAAACAGGGTTATTGCAGTAGGGGGAGATAGAAGGCACAAGATTTGTTAATCACCACCACCCACCCAGCTTCATCAGTTTTAAGACTCAGAGAACCATTTGTTTGTTTACTGCCATGTGTCACCACATACATACAGAGAATGCAATATACATAGTATGGTGCAATAACAGAGCGGGCAGCTCCAAAGTCATTGATACAGTTCAGGAAATCACACTGCAGTACATGCTGTATTAACCTTTTCTGAAAATTATGGCATCCTCTGAAACGGCATTTATGAGCTTAGTATTACTTCAGGGTATAAGCAGAATGCTTATGACTTGACAGCCTTCATCCACATTCACTTCATTTAACATAACAGCAACTTTCATTTACAAGTTCCCCTTCAGCAAAATTAGTTTAGGAAATCTGACTCTGCCACTCATCTAGAAACAGATTTTCCTCTCCAATTCGCAGAGAGGAACTGTATTTGCAAGCATCTTTATATTATAGCTAGCAAAACAAATAGGGCATTCACTTCAACACTGTCCATTAAATTGGCATTTTGCTTTCTGGAGCATTTCTTTTCATAGAGAAAAAGGAAAAGTTCTTCTTATCTCCCCGTTCTTATCCCTCAGGGCCAGCTTGTGTTCTTCAAAGTACTGCCTTCCTAGTAAAAAAGGCTCTGGACAAAGTGGACAAAAGATGAGAAGATTCATCTTTCCCTGTCTCCCAAAGAAAAGAAGACACAATGCCTGTGAAACCCCAGAAACAAAGATATATTCAGGCTTACTGTAAAATGTTGAAATCTATCACTAATATACACCGAGTATCAGTTAACTGCATGAGGAATGCACATGGTCACAATTTTAATGGCACATGGTACAGCATAACTAATAAATTGAAGCAACATTCCATATGTTGTCACTTTCCATGCTGCACATCTGGAAATGCAAATGTTGCAAAACAGGATACTATAGAACATTGAAAAAAAAGAGAGAGAATATTCTGTATTCAAGTTATTTTTTCTAATAAGACTTTGAGAAACTCTGAAGCACAGTCATTCACATATGCAGTACCTTGCTGCACCGGAAGCCTTTTTAGAGGAGCAGCAGTCTTTGAAAATACACAAGTATTTACAAAGCTAGACACAAAAATAGAGAAACAAGTTATATGGGTATTTTGTTTTAAGTTGAAGAGCTTTTGCAAATGCAAGGTATCATGGTAAACACCTTAAGGTTCTGGAGAAGACCAGACTGGCTTTGATACTGCTGAAGCTTCTTTGCAATATTTAAGGTTTACCTTCTGAAACAAAACAAAAAACCATCACGAACAAAAAAAAACACCCCAATAACACCCACACATCATCTTCTCCCTTACCAATTAATCTATAACAGAACAAAACTCATTAACAGAAAGTGGCATGATAATTATTATTTTTATATTCTAAAGTAGAGAACCTAATAAGAGTCTCTACCAAGCTGAGAAAACAGTACAATCTAATGGAAGAACACCTGTATTTTAAATCCTCATGCAAACTTAAGAGGTGTATCCTATATGTTTTAGAAAGATTCCAATCAGGTAAGTATAACTGAGGACAAATAAGCGTAAGGCTTCCTTCATTGGTTAAGTAAACTAAGTCATTCAGCTATACTTTAAAATAAAAAATTAGTCCTGCCAAATCCAAGGACAGGGCTTAAACGTGTAACTCCTTAAGACATTTCTTAAAAATAAAATAAACTTCACAAGAAGGAAACCACCTAAGCCATTCAGAAACTCCACTTCAATCACAGGAACCCTGAATACAACCAGCATCACAAAGGCATCAAGACCTTTCAGAGAAGCTGTTCTGCCTTGTCATTAGATAAAACTGAGCAAGATCAAGTCACCTCACAAAATTGTATTTCCCAATACAGGCTCTAGAATGGATAATCACAAATGAGGTTAATGAGTCTTGATTATAAGGTATGACAGAATCTACAGGTTGCACAGATCCTAGGAAGGAACAGGAGTACAGACAGAAGGCAATGTCTTCCATCACAGTACGTAAATTTTCCAGATGACGTAGAAAAAATACTTTGAGAAAATTAAAGAAGGGGCGGGGACTGAGAGTACAAACAACCTACTAGACCACAGTAATTCAAAGCTTTCTTTTTTAAAGGCAGAGAAGTAAAAATATAGCTCCTTAGAAGCCAATAGCAAAACCTTCATTGACTTCAACAAGAACATAACTTTCCCGCTCATGTTTAACATTCGTTACATCTAACTCAAAGGAAAATTATTGATAGTCAGAATCATTACAGAAAGCGCAAGAACCAAAATAAAATCTCTAATGTTGCAGTTGACAAACCAAGAACAATTTCAAGTGCTCTTCACAAGATGTTTATTCTTAACCGTTACTTAAGCTTTCCACATAAGTTATCTTGTTCTACTAAATTTCTTTTTAATAAGACGGTTAAGGTATTGAGATGCTTTTCTTCTCCTTACCTCAGCAACTGAGGGTTTTAATAAGAAAGTATTACTGCTGGTATTTACACAACAGTAAAGCAATACCGATAAGAACACTGATGTGTTTTGCTAAAAATCTACCACAAATCTCAAAAATACTTTGTTCTGCTGAATTTACTATCTGACTATCCTGAAGCACAGGCCACCAACTGTTTTGAAACAGCCCGGGAAAAGATATGATTGCAACAAAATACCATCATCATATAGTACTTACCCTAACAGGAGGGCTCCGTGCTTGCACCCTTTGCTGCTGTCCAACTTGAGAGCTCTGCAGGTCCTTTGATCCGCAATTAGCTACAGTGTTGATGGGAACCTTTAAAGCATTTGTGCTACCAGTCCCACCACCAGCGCTGGGTTTTCGAGGCCTCTGTTTAATGCCATCCAGTAGTCTAACAAGCAAAATATTACTGGGAAGTTCGTCAACACTGCAGTCCACTAAAGTCCTGCACTCTGGGCATCGAAGCTCATTTCGAGAGCTCACAATGCCCAGCAGACAGCGCTTACAAAATGTGTGCTGGCAAGGCAAGACTTTTGCAGAAGCATCAAGTCGTTCTAAGCAAACAGGACACTCCAACAGATCCAGCAAAGCTGATTCATCCATTTTCTTTGTATTACTTAACCAAAAAACAAATCGTCGCAGAATTGGTGTGTTTTAAGCACCCCAAGGATATCATGTTACATCCATTCCTCTTCTGACTGTGCTCTGAAATTTTTTGAGAGAAAAAGGTATCAATAAGCTGGAAAAAGAGTCAAGAAGAGTATTTTACATGAAGATGTTCATACAAAGAGCAAAATAAAAGATCTCTAGACTAATTCAGTAAATATTTTCAATAAATGAAAGAAACTTGAAATAGTAATAAACAATAATAGCAATCTACATTAACAAATCTATTTAGTTAAAATATTATAACAAATGCTAATGGCTAAGGTTTTTAAAGTCAAGTCCGCATAAATTTTAACCTTGAGCAATGCTGTTTTCTCAAATTATTCCAGAATGAAGAGCTATCCCCAGTACAGCATTACAATAAAGCTTACTTTTCACAGTTCTTGCTTAATACACCTGTATCTCAGAACATTTCTTTGAAATTAGCTTTTTTTCCACAAGACGACGACAGGGAACGTAACTACAACTGGGTCCAAAACAACACAACATACACCAACAGGGCACAGAAAGGGGAATTAGCCCAGACTAAGCCAACAGCAGACTACATTTCTACCATTTCTGTAAAAAGTAATAGCAGCACATTACACACACCAGTCTTGAAAGCAGCCTGTAGCTCACAGGGTTTCGAGCTTACCACAGGCACTGACAAGAGGGCTCATTACAGTGCCGCCTTTAAGGAGCGCTTCAAAAAACTATCGCCAAGTGATTTACAGCAGGAAGTGCTACTGCCGTATCGTTAGGACAACACGAGTGCTGCGTATGCAGCCACAGAGGGAGCGGCAAGCCTTCAGCCGGCTTAAGTGTATGCAGCCAGGGGCTGGCAAAAGGGGGGAGGAGCGGGAAACCCCACCACCAAAAAACCCCCTGAAGAAAAAATATCATTCTGCGGGAAGTCACGCCAGGCTGCTGCACAGGAGAGAAAATGGCTTGTTGAGCTCGGCAGTCCCCACCGCGACGCGCCCGCGTACCCGGCGCG